TCCCAGTGTGTGTATATATATATATATCCACACGTACATTTAAATTAGTAGCTAAAGTGGGCTGTGACGTAATTTTTCGTATGTTCTTCGGGCTTAGATGGATGTATAGACTTCTCATTCTCATTTATTCGGTTCTTAGCTGCAAAAAAGTATTTTAAAAAATATATTTTAACCTCACTGTTCAGTCTTTGTCGAATTATCAAGCTCTTATGATCACCCTTGTAGGATAGCTTGATATACATACATCTTGCTTAGCGGTGAGTTGAAGAATGAATCTTGATGCTCTGACCACCCCCTTATATCTCCTAACAAACTTCTCTGTATAGGTTACAGGATTTCATCATGAGCTGACATACGTCAAGAAAACAACTGGAAAACCTGCATAAAATAATGGAGCTGTTTCGTCCTGATGTGGTACTCTTCATCATTACTCACCCACCAAGTGGGGTTCGAACCCAGCCCGTAGGCAATTAAGCCACCAGTCCATGGATTCCAACTTCTACCAATTCACGACATAGAGCGGCTGTCACTTGACAATATGATCCGTGGCGAGTATTTGTCCTCACACCCTACCTACCACCTGCTGTACTCTGCTGGTCACGACTTCTCACCAGAAAAATGATCATCAACCAGAGTTTCTGTCAGTTTTCGAAAGAATACAAAAAATTTTTTTTAATATTGATACCACCAAGGTAATTAATTCGTTTTTAAAAATGTTTATTTGTAGGAATCTAATTGAAAACTGACAGTAAGTAGTGTATAGCTATTTCGTCCTAGTCGGAGACTCATCATCAGTACTTACAAACCGTCAGGATTCGAATCCAGGACCATCCAGTTACAAGGCAAGCTAGCTCGTTGACCATTCAGCCACTGGGACCCGCATACCCAATGGCCAGTCGATAAATTCTAACTTCTACTGATGTGCGATTTTAATGTGACCACCAGTCATTATTATCTCCATGGAGAACATTTATCCTGGTGGAGCCAACTGGTCATGACTACTCACTAGAACTCCAGTTATCTTCATCCAGTAGCCCGTCACTAATGAGCATCAGATTAATCATCAAGAGTTTGCTTGAAGGTGTTTGATTTGTTTTTCAGGTTTCACCACATATCGATATCACTTAGAGAACCATTGAAAAAACCAACAGGGAATCAGGATTTCATCATGAGCTGACATTAGTTAGAGAACCATTGGAAAACCTTGGAGTACTGCACAGCTGTTTCGTCCTAGTTTGGGACCCTTCAGCAGTACGCACCCAAACCAACACTTGAATACCAACAGTGGACAGTTATTTCATCCTAAAATCACAAACTGGTAGAAGTTTATTATATATATTTTTCATACAATGATTGCCTTTTATAAATTTGAACAAAGAAAGAAGAAACATTGGAGCGCCAAATAATCTGGAGCCATTTTGTCTCGTTGGTTCTCATCACCGACTGCTTACAACCTGAATTTTTTTATTTTGTAATAGCAATAAAAAGCGTACAGTTTCAACAAATCTTTGTCCATTAGCAAGCACACTGTCAGAGCGTCATAGTAAAATAAGGCGTTGCGATTTACAGGGTGTCTAAAATCGTACGACATTCATACATATATATATCTTGGTAGAGAGAAGTTTCTTGATAAAAATTTTGCTAACTGTTGTGTTGTTCGGGTGGTAACAAAAGAAAATTAGTAACAGTTACGTAATCAGACAAGAGAAGATCAAAATTTTACAATTTCTATGCACATGAGGTCAGATGAGAAGTTGATGATGTAACACAGTGAGTGAGCAGAACTCAGAAGATCAAGAAAGCATATCTCTCAAGAGAGTCAAGCGAAAAATAAAGTGGGGGGAGGCGGGTGGAGTGAAAAGATAAGCTAACAAAATTAGAAAACAAAGAGAGGTACTAAGAGGTGAGTCACTAACAGGGTAACTGAAGTTCAACAACGGATTCCTTTGCGATACACATAAATCAAGCTTCAATCGTTTTATTGCTATAGCTTCAGAAAACCTGAGAAGACTTGACGTTCTACCTTGTATGTTAATTATTTTGAGTGATTCCAGCACATCTACTGGTGTCCGGTGTGAATCAGGTGTTTGGCGATTGAAGAGCTTAAACAATTCGATCCCTTTAACTGGAAGCTCTTTAGTACATGTTCGCAGAATCTGACGTAGGCCCTAACTCTCTGTTCTTCCAATGTAACTGCTCTCGCAGATACATAGGAATTGGTATACACAGTTGGAGGTAACATGTGAGGGGTACTTGTCAATCTTTGACTGCACCAGTGAAGAGGTTGTTCGATGTAGAGAGACTAATGATGCTGAAGCATACGTCCTAGACAGAGCCGTGCTTAATCTTCTATTAACCATTCTCATATTGTCGTCGACCTTATAGTCAAGTTTGATGAAAATAGGCTTCTTACTGACTACAGCTGTATCAAGCTTCTTGAGTTCATTCTTGCCATATTTGTTAATGAAACTTTGTGTGTAACCATTTTCATTCAAGCATTAATTCACTCTCTGTAGTTTGTTTGGTGAACATATTCTCTTCGCTCTAGAGAAAAGCATTTTCACCAGAATTCGTTTGTATCTCACTGGCAGAAGTTGTTGAAATTCAAGTAAAGACCACTCCATGTGTCTTTACGATATACAAATCTTTTGAGTGTCCCATCGTCGTATTTCCTCTCCAACTTTACGTCCAAAAAATGGGAATTTTTCATCATCCTCATGCTCCATTGTGGAAGTGATACTTTTGTATACATTGTTGAAAGAGTCTAATAGAGATGAAGCGTCACTCAAATCACTGCATACAATGAATGTATCATCAACGTATCTATAGTAGGCTGTTGTTTTGCCAAATGCACACTTGACATTTGTCTGTTCCAGAGTGGCCATAAAAATACCAGCTAATATTGGGCCAAGTGGACTCCCCATTGCCATACCATCAATCTGGCGATACATTTTGTTGTCGAACTGGAATTGTATATCATTAGTACATAAATACAAGAAGCTGTTTAAATTCCAGTTTTGGTAGAGGAAGAAGATAAAAGTGCTGACAGGCGATGGCGAATGTCCCATGCAGAGACGTCTACGTGAATAGAGAAGTTGCATCGAAGGAAACCATGATTATGTCATACTTATTGAGTTGATTCACCTTTTCAACAAATTGGAACGTGTATTTTAGAGTAGGTTTAGCTAGACGTTGTCTAACAGGTACTAACCTTTCGACTAATCAGCAAGCAACTTTGTGAAAGGGTGAATTTACCATTTCAATAGCTATCTGAGTACTTTCACGACTTTCTGTTGGTAGGGTTAGTGTGTTTTTTGCTCTTGTCTATGCTGACTTCAATCAGCCTCCAGACAATTGATCACTTCGAAATGCTTCCTCAACACTGCGGTAGACGTCCAAATCAGATATAACTCGGACAGCTGTGACAACGAAAGCTTTATTATTCACAATACAGAGAAAATTATCTTCTACACATCAACCATAAATAAAGAATCAATATCTGATTAAGACATCTATAAAAAAACAAAATAATTGAACAAAGAATATCTTTTTCGATAATTTCCTCTTCCGGCTCTACAATTATATATATATATATATTCTAAAATAGTAGTCAGTGACAGTATTCATTGATAAGAATATGAATCTAAAATCAAGGCAGCCCAAGGTACCAACAGTTCCTAAAAAGGTCTTATGTTTACAAATTCAGTTCCTCGGTGATAACATTGGTTTTCTGAAGCTATAGCAATAAAACGATTGAAGCCTGACTTATGTGTTCAAAAGGAATCTGTCGTTGGACTTCAATTACCGTGTGGTGACTCACCTCTTAGTACCTCTCTTTGTGTTCCTAATTTTGTTAACGTATCTTTTCACTCCACCCGCCTCCCCCCACTTTATTTTTCGCTTGACTCTCTTAAGAGATATGCTTTCTTGATCTTCTGAGTTCTGCTCACTCACTGTGTTACATCATCAACTTCTCACTCTGACCTCATGTGCATAGAAATTGTAAAATTTTGATCTTCTCTTGTCTGATTACGTAACTGTTACTAATTTTCTTATGTTACCACCCGAACAACACAACAGTTAGCAAAATTTTTATCAACAAACTTCTCTCTACCAATATATATATATGTATGAATGTCGTACGATTTTAGACACCCTGTAAATCGCAACGCCTTATTTTACTATGACGCTCTGACAGTGTGCTTGCTAACGGACAAAGATTTGTTGAAACTGTACGCTTTTTATTGCTATTACAAAAAAAAATTCAGGTTGTAAGCAGTCGGTGATGAGAACCAACGAGACAAAATGGCTCCAGATTATTTGGCGCGCCAATATTTCTTCTTTCTTTGTTCAAATTTATAAAAGTTAATCACTGTTTGAAAAGACAAACTGCCTAATTTCACCTCTTCAATGTGTATATTCCAATTCAACTGCTCCTGAGGAGTGAACTATTTACATAGGCCGTACACTTAGGTATGTTTCTCATTGGATTTCCGAACATCACCCTGCCAAGTGGTTAAGTAAAGGACAAACAAAATCTATTCATGGCGCTATTCTATCTCATCTTGTGGATACAGAACACAAGGTTGATGTCAACGAGGCAGCTTTCAAAGTTATTTACTGCATACCAACAAATCTCAATTTCGCCTTAAGAGTTCGTTTACTTCATGATTTTCAACAGTCCTCCAGCCAATATGAATCCGTGATCAAACTTGAATTTGTTTATATGTGTTCTTTCTGTTTACACCTACAATTGGAACAGAAAGGGAAAATTATTTTAATTTCATTCCACATACCATTTGATTATTATTTTTCCAATGAGAATACATGTGTAGGGGGAGACAGAATATTCAATCAACCAATAAAATTTCTCCATTTCACGCAATCAGTTTTAAGTTTAATTTTCTATTGGTTCAAGTTTTTCCTGAGATGTGATTGGTTCATTCAGTCAAAGCGAGACATTTTATCTTTATCACAGTGATACGGCTTCCAAAAAAATAATCGAAAACCTAACATCAACCACACTACACCATTAATATTGATTTATTTTATGAAACTGACGCTTTCAAAGGAATATTAATGACATGGATTTGGGTTTTTCCACTCTGATCAATAATAAAAACGCTATGTATCTACATAATTCCCATCCTATTGAATTAAATAATCCAAGTACTAGTCCATATCCATTGGCAGGACCATTTATGTACAATAATGCCTATCATAATTTCCCTACAATGAATGAATTGAATACCTCGTCAAATCGTACAGATCATTCACCGACGTCAGAACAAATAACAACAACAATAACAACACAACCATTGGAGAGAATTTTATCACAGTACAATTATCCACATCAGTCGTTTCATCAAACGTTTGGAAATGAAGCAGTCAAATGTACTAAAACCAGTGAACAGATGAACTCAAATCCTACAACACCATGTGATTTACGTATTGAAGTAGGAGAAAATGTCACCAATGCTACAGAAAGTATCCAGAATCCACAGACAAGACTAGATAATAACGGCAATAATAATAATAACACTAATTCATGGCATAAATTGAATTCATCACATCCAATGTTTCCATATCATGCTTCCCAGGTTGATAATGACACGTCATCCAGTACTTATAATAATAATATGAATAAATATATAAACAATACATCGAGATATTATGATCAATACCTGTGTAATTCAATATTTCCTCCTTATGCTTATGGTGGTTCCTTTCCAACATCCTATCCAACATCGAATATGCTGTCATCTAATACATCATCACCAGTACTTCCACCGGCGCCATCACATCCTCAACAATATCTTGATGAATATTATCGACAACAAATGGGCATAGACGCTGGAATTCCCAACACAAAACAGTTGCCATTGATGACGAATCGGACTACTTTACTCCCATCACAGTTTAATTCGAATCCATTTTTGAATATTTCCCTCCTAGCAGTCATTTTACACAAAATAACAATTGTGGTATTACTGGCGCTGTGAATCATTCAAAAACACCGCCAGCAATTAGTACTCCTGCCGCGACCACGACTACAACTAAGGAAATGAATCGTACACGTAATCATTTGAAAAGAAAATCGATACATGAGGATAATTTAAATATGATGCTTGTACAAGGTGAACGTAAGCCTCATTCATACCATCAACAACAACAACAACAGCATTCGAATTCTTCCTTATTTGAATTGCCTAATTTGTTAAAAATCAATAATAATAATAACAATCATGAAAATACGATAATGAATGGAAAACTTGATAATAGTAAGTTAATAATAAATTATAATTATAATTATAATAATTTAATTTTCAACCATTGGTTGGTTTTATAGGGATTTTGTTTGATTGTATGAAGGATTTCATCATGAGCTGACATCAATTAGTCCGAATAGCTCAGTGGTTGCAACGTCTCTGATTGCCGCCTCACTGGGTAACGTGGGTTCGAATCTCATAAGGGACATGAGTTTCTTCAAGGCAGTTGCAGATACGCCTTGCTGACTTGACTGATGAGTGCCAACTAGCACGAAACTTAGGCCCCAGAAAGGCTTCCTATAGCCGATCACCTTCAACTATAATAATTTAATAAGTATTTTTAATTGATGATGTGATTAACTATCTTATATGGCGTCGAAATGACGGGCTACTGTTTGTGTATATTTAAGGATTTGAGTATTACTCAACAGCAGTTTGCTCCGTACTCCTGATTTAATGACAGTCGGTGAGACATGATCATTGAAAGTAAAAGACATGTAAAGGCTGTATGGTTAGCTAACTATCTCTCTTTCATCATAGGTGTCTGCTTTTTTTCTCCCACCTTTGGCAGTAGGTACAGTAGGCTGAGTAATATTGACTTTATGCGTTGAGTGTTAGGTAGGTGGGAGGGGTATCAGTCGATGGGGTTGTGAGGTTACATTGATTGAGATGGTTAGAACGTGTGTCTTGCATGCCTGTCTAGACATCAATCACCTTCTTCGACAACAGGCAGTGTTATCTGAAAAGGAATGGATCAGGTTGGAGAAGAGCTATCACGTGATAGTCAAACCAAATGATAACTTCATCCATCAACCCATAAGGGTTAATTTTGACCAGCCAGCCACGTGTGGAGGTGCAGATTACTTGACTGACTCGTTTGGGGTCATCGTGATGGCAAGAACCAATGCAACGCCTGGAGAAAATTGTTGATATGCCTGAAGATCCATGTTGTCAATAACTGGTGCAGATGCATTCCCTCACTCTTTGTGATTGTTTATTATCTCTCTCTCTCCTGTGAATCCCTCTTTACTCTATTCTGTCAGTTTGTGTGCGATAGATAGAGCAGGAGTGGCAACTTGAACTGCTGCACATGTAATGCAAAGCAGCTATATGTTGAAACCAGTCACTTAGGGGAGATTTCCAATCAGGGGCCTAAAGATTACCAACTGATACCTCACCAGATGAGCCATGAAATTTAACTGTCATGTATATGAATTCCACTCTGTTGTAATGAGATGAAATTACGTGATATGAATCGTTTCAGAACTAGGAATCAGTAGCCTACCAATTGCTAACCAGAATCTCATGTCATCATTTCATTGCTGTCATCATGGAGAATGCTGAGCTGTCTTTGTAATGAATAAACCACATGCAAGTTTGCTGACTGATTTTTATCACACTATCTGTGGTTATCTATGTCTTCTCTCCAGCCGATTCTACGTCTTATTGGTAGGGCTTCGTGTGCTTTTGGAAAGGGTATGCGAGGTTGTTACTTCCCTGCTGCCCACGCACCATGGAAGTTGATTTTATGTATTGGAATAAGCTGTCAGCCATTGAGGATAATGCTTTTTCTCATGATTAGTAGGAACTGACGAATCAGCAGATTGAAGACATTTTTAAATACTCGCCAGATTCAGCAGTATTATTAGAGGTCATATATTCTACTAGATTTAAACAAAGTGAATAAGAGAAATTATATGGAATAATATATTGATGTGGGTTTTCAGTAACCCAAATTTGAGACTACAAACAATGAATATATCCGCGCCACTATATCATAATTAGCCTTCAGTCATTAGCTCTTAGCACCCTCAGGACTCCGACCACACGGTCTACACCTCAAGCCGACTGTCAAATACTGTCCGTGAATTGACACCAGTTTCTGACATGACTATTCACTTCACTTATTGAGAAGTAGCATCAGCCCCGACGGGTTGATCTCTGACGAAATCTCAGCACGCACACAGGGCTAGTTTCGCGTATGCCAGTTTACGCCGTCTCTCGCTTAGTAGACGTCATATCCTGCTATCGACCAAAGAGCGGATGTACTGCTTGGAAGTCCGCTTCATCCTCCTTTATGGCTGTGAGACCTGGCCATTGAGAATGGAAGACATGAAAAGATTAGCTGTCTTTGATTATAGGTGCCTGCGTTCTAACTCCCTCCCCTGTGACGTGGTATAACAAGGTGAGCAGTATTGAGGTTAGCCGTCGAGTTCTAGGTAAGCAGGGTAAATCAATCGAAGAGGTTTTGAAGTTACACACACTAAGATGGTTAGGACATGTGTTACGTATGTGTGCCAATTCATTGCCTTCCTCGACGAGCAATGTTAGCTGAAATAGGATCAGGCTAGCGGGGTCAGACCAAAACACGACACCAGTCAATGAAATCCACAACAGTTTGTTTTAGTCACGTAAGAAGGTGTAGACTTCCTGACTAATTGGGCTCCTCGGGACGATAAAAACCAGTGGGTGGAGACAATCGGTGACATGGCTCAAAATCGTTCTCAGTGGCTGGTGCAGATGTAACCATTCTCTGTGACTTATAATAACCAATGTAACTATACTGTTCTTCGTTATTACTATTCCTTTGTCTCATACCTCTGTTTACTGTCTCTCTATTATGCATTTCTTCTACTTCCTTCTCTTGCTATGTGTGCTACAAGGAATGGAGTGTGGCGACTTGAACTGCTGCACATCTGTGCAAAGGTTCTATGTCGAAAATAGACAGACAGACAACAAAATATGGTGACTTGGCATGCCTAACACATATCTAAACCATCACAATCGATGTCGTTTGACAATCTCAGTAATCGACCTACCCAACTGATCTACCACTTTACGTGTAACCCAGTACACAAATATAAATAGAGTCAGATTTTTTACGCTAACCCCAGGAGTATTTATCATATACGTTTTTACGAGTTTGACCATGGATCGATATCAGTTAGATAACCATTGAAAATCAGCAGGGAGTACTGCTAGACAGCTGTTTCGTCAGCCTACTTTGGGAATCATCGGCAGGACGCACAAACCAACAGGGCCTTCAGGTTACAAGACAAGCTCGCATACCATTCAACCACTAGTCCCAATTCAGTGACCAGTGTATGAATGCTAACTTCTACTAATTCATGATTTAGCGTGACCCCTACCAATGTCGTCGATGGGACATGCATCCTAACATGTGACGGGATGGATGTCACCCGTCACGGCTTCCCCCTAGAACTCACTGTAGCCAATCACTAGCAAACTAAAATAAAGAATTGGTAGAAGTTGAATTCATGGACTGGCCATTGAATTGGGTCCCAGTGGCTGAATGGTATACGAGCTAGCTTGCCTTGTAACCGGAATGTCCTGGGTTTGAACCCCAACTGTGAGTGCGTACTGATGAAGAGTCCCAAAGTGGGATGAAACAACTGTCCTGTTCTCCTTACTTAGTTTTCCAATGATTCTTTAATCGCTAATCAGCTTCTAATGAGATCCTGAATTCGATGGAGAATTGAAAATTTCATTTGTGGTAGCATTTGAACTAGTGACCGTTGAATTACTAGTCTGGCGGTCACCTTCCTGAGATACAAGGCCATGAAACATAATCTAATGATCCGGTAAAATTATTAGTGATGTAGTAAGTATGTTGTGGCACATCGTTTTAGGTTCCCACCTGGTTCAGCCTGGCTGGACATTAGTCATCACCCAATAAACTTGGCATTTGGCTTGGATAAATGAGTCTGGACAGTAAAAAAAAAATAATTGCGATTAATAATGTTAACACCAGTGGTGCCTGAATACAAATCAGATTTCAAACTTATGCCTTTTTCAACCCTAGCTAGCGTATTACGTCATCCATTTATTCTATAAGTCTTTTTTTATTGTTGACATCTATTCAGAAATCCAAAATGAAATTGATATTTTTGAGTATTAACTCTGTACGACTCAAATTACGTCACACAAAAAAGTTGTTGCTTTTGTTAACGATTTATATACACACACACACCTGTTCTAAGTCAATTGTGAATAAAACAATCTCTAAGATGAATCTCTAAGCTTATTACGTAATTCTTCTTCAAGTTGTTCTTTTTTAGCTTAGTCACTATCACCACCACACACACACACTACTGATATTGCCACAGAGACAACTGTACACACAAAAATGTTGGAATTTCACTCTTACGTAACATGTTCATCAAAAGAGAGAAATATATTCTGTCTTATGATTAGTAATCACTTACACTCTACAGTCGAAGAAACATTCAAACAAAAGCATGACAAGTTGATGACCACTCACAATGTATAGAAATTTTTATATTTGTTTCCTAACATACATTGATTCATTAGTTACTAAGGTGAAAGGAACTGTTGACAGTCAGTGTTGAACTAAAGAAATACTTGTAAGATGTTAGTAACCATATTCGTTACATAACTGTTTGGAATGAAATGGAATCAAATATGAAGGCAACAAGTACGCTTAGTTAGTTAGTTAGTTAGTTAGTTAGTTAGTTAGTTAGTTAGTTAGTTAGTTAGTTAGTTAGTTAGTTAGTTAGTTAGTTAGTTAGTTAGTTAGTTAGTTAGTTAGTTAGTTAGTTAGTTAGTTAGTTAGTTAGTTAGTTAGTTAGTTAGTTAGTTAGTTAGTTAGTTAGTTAGTTAGTTAGTTAGTTAGTTAGTTAGTTAGTTAGTTAGTTAGTTAGTTAGTTAGTTAGTTAGTTAGTTAGTTAGTTAGTTAGTTAGTTAGTTAGTTAGTTAGTTAGTTAGTTAGTTAGTTAGTTAGTTAGTTAGTTAGTTAGTTAGTTAGTTAGTTAGTTAGTTAGTTAGTTAGTTAGTTAGTTAGTTAGTTAGTTAGTTAGTTAGTTAGTTAGTTAGTTAGTTAGTTAGTTAGTTAGTTAGTTAGTTAGTTAGTTAGTTAGTTAGTTAGTTAGTTAGTTAGTTAGTTAGTTAGTTAGTTAGTTAGTTAGTTAGTTAGTTAGTTAGTTAGTTAGTTAGTTAGTTAGTTAGTTAGTTAGTTAGTTAGTTAGTTAGTTAGTTAGTTAGTTAGTTAGTTAGTTAGTTAGTTAGTTAGTTAGTTAGTTAGTTAGTTAGTTAGTTAGTTAGTTAGTTAGTTAGTTAGTTAGTTAGTTAGTTAGTTAGTTAGTTAGTTAGTTAGTTAGTTAGTTAGTTAGTTAGTTAGTTAGTTAGTTAGTTAGTTAGTTAGTTAGTTAGTTAGTTAGTTAGTTAGTTAGTTAGTTAGTTAACTCGATGAATAAAAATTATCTAACTAAACTGACGAGTAATTTTTAAATCTTTCCTTTTTAATACGTTCTAATCGTTCAGTATTTCTCATTCGTTCATTTGCTACTATTTTTGATTCATGTGTAATATGTAGATTATAAATCATTATTTTTAACCATATATTAATAATAAATATGCTCCATATAATAAGAAATATTAAACCAATTAATATATCATTTTCTCCAGGCCATTTATAATGAGATTTTTGAATTTTTAATGCATAGGATAATTTCGGCTGAGGATGCCATTTATTCGGTTGACGTATACCTCTTGTATAACAACTGTACACATCCGAATCATCTAGTCTTACATCAAGTATGATTAATTCACAAGCTTCATTCATATAAATTCTTTCGTGTAATATTTTACGCCGATAGAATGTTTGATTTTTTGTACGCCAGATAATTGGATAATAATTATAATCGCAAACATAGGCATCAGTAATACGACAGTCCAACTCTAAATAGCCTTCATGTTTAATTGACAATTTTTCAAGTTTCATAAATCTTATATCACTATAACCTAAAATATTTAACTTCATTTTAGAAATATCACGTTGTAAAGCTAAATTAACCATTTCTATGGCATTTGATTCACCACAACTTATATCATATGTTATGGTAATGTGTAAATTGAATATGTTCAATGGTTTGAATTTCCCTTCTAAATTAAGCAATTGTTTAAAAAAGTTATATTGACATGGGATGAATAGATTATTTTCATCCATAAATAGTTTAAAACCTAATACATTAATTAGCTGAATTTTTAGCGGATTTTTCAAGTAAAGGCCATATAGGTGATTGTTCTTTATCATCATAGAATTGTCCAAATTCACTGAATGCATTCAGTAGAACAAGATAAAGTAATTGAACTTCTTCTGTATAAATGCTAATATCATCTGTTAATTTTCTTGGAATATTGATATAACAGACACGATTTTGTCTTATAACAACAGGACCACATTCTTCTTCATGGGTTAAATTATTAAATGATTTTGATGTAATATGCAATAGATTAAATTGTTGATCGTTAAAAATCATCAGACAGATTAATTTCATCTTCAACTTGTTTTTGTAATTGTTGTAAATCATGATGAGAGTTAACAGATTTATCCATTCGACGTATAACTGGTGGTATATCCATTTGATGGGATACTTCTTTATATGAATTAATATAATCAATATGATACCAGATAAAATTTAACGGATGGTTTGTTTCATTTAGTGAACGGCATACATAAGTACCTGAATCATTGGATGGATTGTCTGTCTGTTTTCGACATAGAACTATACACAAATGTGCGGCAGTTCAAGTCGCCACACTCCGTGTAGCACGCGAAGCAAGAGAGGAAAGTACAAGAAAAGCATAATAGAAACATTGAGCAGAGGTGTGAGACAAAGGAGTAATAAAGAAAAACAAAACAGTTTCATTGGAGATCATAAGTCACAAGGAGTGGATGCATCTGAGCCACTTATTGAGAACGATTTTGAGCCATATCACCAATTGTTTCCAACCATTTGCTTTTACCATCCCGAGGACCCCAATCACGAAGTCTACACCTTCCTACGTGGCTTAGACCAACTGTTGTGGATTTCATTGACTGGTGCCAAGTTTTTGTTTGACCGCCGCTAGCTTTTTTCCAGCCTGACCGTATATCCGCTGACATAGCTCGTCGAGGGAGGCGATGGCTTGGCATACGTAACACATGTCCTAACCATCTCAGTCGATGTAGTTTCACGACTTCGTCGATTGATTTCCCCTGATTACCTAGAACTCTACGCCTAACCTCCATGTTGCTCACCTTATTATGCCACTTTACACGGGAAATAGAACGCAGGCACCTATGATCAAAGGCAGCTAGTCTTTTCATATCTTCCACTCTCAGTGGCCAGGTCTCACAACCATAAAGGAGGACGGATCGGACTGATGAGCAGTACACCCGCCCTTTGGTCGATAGTCGAACATCTCGTCTACGCCAGAGTCGGCGTAAACTAACAAATGCGAAACGAGCCCCCTGTATTCGTGCTCATTGGATGGATTAAATTGTATAAATACTAATTTATTTGTAGTGTTTATAGTGCACGGATTATTTAGTTTGTAAAGCACTATTCACTGGTTCAAACAAACTTTCATCAAGTATCCATTTACTATTATAAAATGTTTCGGTGCTAAGTTAAAAAAATTGACGAGGTCTACGAAACCATTGAAAATTTTGATATATTTTCATCAGGACATATATGACAGACTAATTCTAAACTTGTATAGGGAGATCACATTGAATAAGTTTAACTAGATGACGTTGTTGAGCTAAATCAGATTGTGTTGGATAACATTTCTCTGGTTCAGCATAATAAGATACATTTTTATTACCCGTGCAAGTATTTAATTCACACTGAATTTTAACAAAAATAACTAGAAATAATAGTTAGTTTATATAGACAATAGGCAGGTATACACCATGATGTAGCTCAAAAAAGCGACAGTCGATATGAACAGTTACCTTAGTTACTATCTAGCAACCGATTGATTCATGTATCTGCACTATTTTTTTCCTAACGCATTCAACAGTTGAAATTTATCTAAGGCTTGCTACTCTAGGTCATCTTACATGTCGTTAGATGAGAGAGAGAGAGCGCGGGGGACGAAAGATCACTGTTATCATTGTTCTCTTTAGTTCTTTTTGACACCCCTTCCTACATTTCTTCCTGTGCTTATCATTACACTCCGCTCCACTCAACGTTTCTCCCCCCCCCACTTCGTCTCTTTATTTACACCCACATAAAAATTTCATCAAAAACACACTGTTTAAATAAGTAATCATACAATGAGTAAAGTTAAATGAAGCGCGTTATATATAAAAAACAAATACTCTTTTGTCAATGTTCAATAATATTTACCACTTTTAAAAAAAGTATGAAAATAATAACAACAGGTATATAAATATCCTCTTAAAAAATTAATCTTTTAAAGAATAGAAAACCAGTTCCTAACACGTTGTATTATTGCTTAAAATAATAAATTTAAAAATATACACAAATATTTCCGAATGCATTCAGTGTTCAATGGATAAGTAAACATTAGTGTTACTAGGCTACATACATAATGAAATCCCTAATGAGGTAAATTTTTGTAGTTGTTATGATAAGAAACCAGTAGACTATTTAGTTATAGATACACACACTTGTATTCAAAACATAAGCTATGACATCACACCTGAAATTGATCCGTTCAATGTATCCATGGCTGAATTGCTGATTGATGTTTTTTACTGTCAGACACCCTGTTGTATTGTGTTTGTTGATTCAGATGGAAGTAGACACTTGGTTCATTGAGTTAAGCATATTTAGCTGTAAAATTAACAACTCCAGGTTTCGAATCCTGCTGCAATTACTTCAACTTAGCCTACTGGAAATTGCTATTAGTCGCTACACAGTAAATATATGACTCATAGGCCAGTACATGAAAAACACAGATGGTGGAAGGTAACTAAGGTAGAATGAAGGAATCGATAAGACATTCTTAATAATAATAAATTGACTTTCAACAGTTGATTTGTGAGGATTAGATCGGTTTTATCATGGATTCTGATTTCTAACTTCTGTTGATATTTTCATACAGTTATTCCCTTTTATAAATTTGAACAAAGAAAGAAGAAACATTGGCGCGCAGAATAATCTGGATCCATTTTATTTCGTCAGTTCTCATCAGCGACTGCGTACAACCTTTGTCCATTAGCAAGCATACTGTTTGAGCATCACAGTAAAATAAGGCATTGAGATTTATACATATATATTGGTAGAGAGAAGTTTCTTGAAAAAATTTCACTAACTGTTGTGTTGTTCGGGTGGTAACAAAAGAAAATTAGTAACAGTTACGTAATTAGATAAGAGAAGATCAAAATTTTACAATTTCTATGCACATGAGGTCAGATGAGAAGTTGATGACGTAACACAGTGAGTGAGCAGAACTCAGAAGATCAAGAAAGCATACCTCTTAAGAGAGTCAAGCGAAAAATAAAGTGTGTGGGGGGGCGGGTGGAGTGAAAAGATAAGTTAACAAAATTAGAAAACAAAGAGAGGTACTAAGAGGTGAGTCACCACGGTAACTGAAGTCCAACAACAGATTCCTTTTGATACACATAAATCAAGCTTCAATCGTTTTATTGCTATAGCTTCAGAAAACCTGAGAAGACTTGACGTTCTACCTTGTCTGTTAATTATTTTGAGTGTTTCCAGCACATCTACTGGGTGTCCTGTATGAATCAGGTGTTTGGTTATTGAAGAGCTTAAACAATTCGGTCCCTTGAACCGGAGGCTCTTTGGTACATGTTCACAGAATCTGACGTAGGCCCTAATCTCTGTTCTTCCAATGTAACTGCTCCCGCAGATACATAGGAATTGGTATACACAGTTGGAGGTAACATGTGACGGGTACTTGTCAATCTTTGACTGCACCAATGAAGAGGTTCTGTTGATAAATGTCACTATCGGAAACGACTGACATCAATGAACACTCAACTGACCTTAAAATAGAAGGGTCCAGTAGACGTAACTTCTCACGACATTCGTTCTGTACCCAATCAGTAATAAGCTGAGGGCTTCTATTCATATTTTAGACACTTTTAAGGATTTCATTATGAATAAAATTTTATTCAGATAAATCATATAGTGTGTTGTTATACACTAAGTAAAATGTACTTATGACCACATTTCGAGAACAAATTATCCCCACTCATAATCATATCACACAACATTCTTGCTTCATTTATTTACATGAGTAAAAATTGATGATTAGACATTTGAATAAAATCAACAATATAAGATGATAAAGTACATTAGGAAATAATAATCTTAGTGTTATCAATAAAATACAATCAGATGGGAAATAAGACGAGGGTTTTTATAGTAAAATAAATAAACAAATAACTTGTTAGAATGCTATAATGTGAATTGAATACATTTTAACATTATTTATCGTCGTATGACTTGACTGGCGGTAATAATATCTTCCATATCTGTGATATTTGAGTTGAGTCATTTCTTTTGCATGCGTTGGGTGTAGACTCGGTAAACTAGGAATCAGTCTCTCTCTCTCTCTCCCACCTACCTAGTTTGCTTTTTAGAATTTCGATTCTGTTTCACCCACTCTATTGTATGGTTGGTTGTGTGTTAGTGCGTTCAGTGTGATTGCTGAGTGTTTCCTAAATTAACGGGATGGAGTTTGCTAGCCTCATGCACATCCTTGCCTATTTATCAGCCTTATTATCGACTTACTGAGGTAAAGGTGTACAGTTGCTGGGGATCGAACCCCGGTCATCATGCGTAGTGGGTGAGTATGCTACCGCTGTGTCACAAGGTAAGTAATGTTGACGTTAGGCGTAGAGTGTTGGGCAAAGAGGGAAAATCAATCGACGAGGCTATAAAGTTACATAGACTAAGATGGCTAGGTCACGTGCTACGCATGCCTAACCACCGCCTCCCCCGACGGGCATTGCTAGCTGATATAGGTGAAGGTTGGAAAAGAGCCAGTGGTGGCCAAACAAAAACATGGCCTCATCAATCCATGCAATCCTTGACAGTTAAACTGAGTCAGGTAGGGAGATGCAGACTTCCGGGTTGGGGCCCTCGGGACTCTAGGAATCAATGGCTGGAGACAATAGGTGACATGACTCAAAATCGTTGTCAATGGCCAGGGCAGATGTATTCAGTCTCTGTAATCTTTCATATTCCTTTCTACCATTACCCATTCTGTTTCACTCTTATACTTGTCAAACTCTATTGATTCTCTTCACTCATCTTCTTGTCTACCTCTGTGTGCTATTTAGAAGGCGGCAACTCGAACTGCTGCACTTCGGTGCCAAGTTCTATGTTGAATCCAGACAGACAGACAGACACCGACGTATTAGGTAGAAATAGGGACTGAAGACACCTCTTTTGGTACACACAGATCTGATTCGAATTCATGAATTGCCAAGACCTTCTCTGTGTTTAAAAGTTTGGAAAGAAGGAGTTTGCCTAAATTCTATATATATGATCTTAAAATCATGGTGTGGGGATTG